GCCAATTCGTGCACTTCATGAAAACCATTAGATCCCGAAGTTCATCTCCATCCCATCAACCTTCTTTTCTGATCTTTGACGTCCCAACGTTGACCCCATTTCCTCATTCCGCCGCCGTTCCTCCATCATTCCTTCATCTTCGCGACAACGATCCCCTATTTTTTGTGTGTAAGCCCTCGTCTTCCTTATCCGCCACCCACCCCCCATCGGACACTCCTCATTTATGCATTTCCCGGATGCATTTCTAATAGAAATAGACACAGGCGGGCAAGGCAACAGGGCTCGGTAATTTCCAAACCTTTCGCGACCCCGGGCGAATTCCGTGAAGTTACGCTCGCCCGAAAAATGGGGCCTATTTCGTGCCAAAGTGGGCTTTTTTACTTCGCATTTTTCAAGCAGTTTTCCGGATCCCCGACTGCCGTAATAGCCTTAATTTTCGGCTTACTTTTGTTTTGCCAGCCCTTTCAGAGCCGGGGTGTCCCCTTTGCAGCCATGGAAATTTGAAATTTGGAAATTTTTTGAGGCGCTGAAATGAAAAATGTCACAAAGCCTCAGCTTTACCCGGCATCCTGTTGCCAGGCAGTACAAAAAAAATAGACAAAAAGGCGCCTGGTCGAAATTTTTTAGCTATGGAAAAAGGCTAGTCTTTGCCTAGTGGTTTTGATTTCGATCTTGCTGGAATCGGCAAGGAACCTAAAACGGTTTTTGTTGCGATTTCGGTCATTTTACCTTATACCACCCGATGCTGAGTGCTCGCCTAAATTTTCATAGATTCTTTTTGCATATACATTCTTACATTTTTACAAAGCGAGAGATCGAAGAAACGTCGAGAGGAAGATATTGTCAAATCCTGGGCAGTGGACGCCTCATTGCATGGGGCAAGGTTCGAAGACTTATTGGGCAACATTTCCCAACAATGGCCTATTTCGACTATGATTTTCAGTAGTTGCATGCAAACTACGTCGGAATATCTTCGAATTAATTTTTGCAACGCGAGAGAGCTGAGAGAGGTAGAGAGAGAGAGAGAGAGAGAGAGAGAGAGAGAGAAAGAGAGAGAGAGAGCTAGAGAAAGGTGTCGCTGGGACCCACACCCTACTTATTCGTGTCTATTTGTTTTTCGCCAAATCAATTTTCGCACTTGCATTTACTGTTTAATCCCGGCCATAAGGTAAAATTCCTATGCACAAATTCAACTCTAAATCATCCTTTCCCCTCGAAAACATCAAAACCAGCCGAATTTCCGGTTCGATGTTTCCGGAAAATCTTGGCCGCAAGTTCCACCCAGCTTCCAAGAATTCGTGGAACGCTTCTAGCCCCGATGGTGGTTGTGAGAATTCGCGCATCTTTATTCAAGGATCATCGTTTCCACCTTCTCCTCCTTCACACCCCCAGGCTTCTTCCGCTCCTCAAATGGGCACTTCTCAGGGTGGGGGATACCCACGCGGCTCACGGCCCGGGCTCCAGTCTCATCTTTTATTTATGACAAATTGCGTTCCGATTCACTTTTGCAATCGGGGGGATGTCCGAAGGGGAGTAGAAGGTGAGCTTCTTCTCAAGGTTCGCCGGGAATTGTACTTTTGAATTTGCTTATGTGTTCTAGAGAGGATCGGGGCTGCTTAGGTCCCTAAAATGATTGGAAAAATCATTCCTTTCAGTTTTGTTTTATTGAATAAGTTTGAAAATGGAATCCTCGTTTGTCCTATTTTATAAAGAACTCATAAACCCTTTTAGCACTGCTTTTAAAAATTCATTTTCAATCAGCTAGCTGTTAGAGCTGTACGACTAAAGAATTCTTCAAACAATCTTGTTTTTTCTTAGAACTATTCTGACCTGACCGTTCATAATGATTTCGTATTTTCATTTTTGCAATGTTTAAGGTATTCTGATATATTGATTTCCTCTTTTCTATTTTCCTCAACGCCTTCGTGCCATTTTTCCATACCTAGATATTCAAATTTTTTTTCAGAAATGCGGCGAAATAGCGAGGAATTCGAGGAGCTGCTCGCGAAGGTCGTGTTGACGATTTCTGCTAGGTCGGTTGTCTAAATCGTACCCTAAAATTGTCACGTATACCCCGAATCTGCATCTAGCTTCGGGCACTTAGCGAACGTTCAAACGCTCAAAAATGCAGTGTTTTCGAGTTAGCCGAGGCCGGTAGCGATACTAGAATTTCGAAACCCAGGTGGAAAAGGGCCAAAAAGGGCAAGCTGACGCTAGAACTAGCAAATTTTTATCTGTCACGATTCCTTTAAACACTCTATTTTCAGGGATCTCCGAGACACTGACCTCGAAAGCGTATCTGACCCCTTTTGCGTGGTATCCGTGATGACGGTCGGCCCGATAACGACCAAAAAATGGAAGGAAATTGGGAGGACCGAGGTAACATTTGGGGCTTTTTGGGGAACTAACCCTGTCGCTACCAAGCAGCCGGATGAGGAGGACGAATTTCAGAAAAAGCTAAGGCTACAGCGCCGCGTTGGCCCGTGGCGTTACGTAGGGAAAACGGAGGTTCGAAAGTGTGTGCATACGGCCGCAAGCATCTTTAACAAAATCGTTTTTATTTTGCTAAAAATAGCGCAACCTCAAATTGTCTAGAAGCGGGATCTTAAAGGAATGGCAACAGTAAGGCGGAGAATGGGGAGAACGAGCCTGAGACTGAGTGTGAGAGAGGGAGAGAGAGAGAGAAAGCGAGGGAGATCGAGAGAGAGTTGGAGAGAGAGAGAGAGAGAAAGAGAGAGAAGAGGGAGAGAAAGAGAGGTTCCATTTTTAAGGATCAACTCCTCAATCCTAAATTTGGATAAGCACATTACTAAAAGTATTAAAAAGATTCGAAAACATTTTGAAAATTCAACATAACTTTGTTCATTGCCCCCATCCCCATACATCACTCACCAACAATTTCTTCCCCATCCCCGAACTTTGTTTTGTTATTGTCTCGAGCCTGGATTTTTTGGGGCGCTGACAATATTGTCATCTGCTTTTCGACAATTCCCAAATCGACAAATCCCCTAAATCCGTCAGCGGATTCCACGGAGAAAGTAATAATAAAAATGGTTAGAAATCCCGAACTGCGCCCAAAATCAGCTTAAACTATCGAAAATGGCATTGGAATCCGATATCCGATTGTTGATTGGTAGGCGAGAAAAAAAGAAGGAAATCAAATCCTGGTTTATCCAGAGATTTCGGATTTGTCGTTTTTGGAGGTAGCGATAACAAAAAATGCGTTATTTTGGGGTGGCAGGCTAAATTCAGGATTACGAGGCCGTAGAGCGGTGTAGGGAGGAAAGTACGTAGTCACCAGACACGTCGGTTTGCTCAAAACCTGAGACGCAGCTATTTACGATAAAACGTCACTCCACCAAAAATGAGCCAAAAAAATAAAGATTCAAATCCAAGAGTTAAAAAATTATTTTGTGTGTGCCATTCGCTAATAATGCTTATAGTCTTTTGATAGCTTCAGACCCATATCTTCGATTTTTAAGGTGATCAACAACTGCCTGAACCCCGACTGGGCCACGAAAATCGAGCTCACCTACGCGTTTGAGGAGCAGCAAAAGTTGCAGTTTGAAGTGTAAGTCTCAAAGTAAGCCAAAACCTAAGCTCAAGCCTAAGCCTGAGAAACCAAGCCTAAGTCTAGGTTTAAGCCTAAGCCTAAACCCAAGCCTAAGTTTATGCCCAAGTCAAAATTACTATGAAAAGCATTTTTTTCAGATTTGACTACGCCAAATCCGGAAAACCTACTCGACTCGGTGGAGCGAACGTTTTGCTTCACGAGATCGTTGGAGCGAAATATAATCGAGTGACCGTGCCTTTAATGTGAGAATTAATGTGTTTTTGTTGTCCCCAAGCTTTTCAGATTAAATTTTATGGCTTTTTTTATAGAGAAGAAGGGAAGCGATACGGTAGCATTACGGTAACAGCTGAAGAAATGGGTTCCGGGCGGCAGGAATCCGTTTATTTCATGTGCAGGTGGGTGCTCTAATTCAATTCACTTGAAAGCCTACGCTTTATAGCGGTAGAAAAGAAAAAGAGAAAAGCTAGAGAAAGGGAGAGAAATGAGAGAGAGAGAAAGAGAGAAATTAAGAGAAAAAGAGAGAGCTGCTGGAGCTTAATTAAAACCAAAATTTTGGTTATTTTCAGCGCAACAAAACTCGACCGAAAAGACTTCCTCGGCAAGTGCGATCCATTCCTCAAGATTTCAAGGATAAACTGGGATAACACGTGAGTTCTTAAGAACCATCCACCGTATCCCATGCCCCCGCTGATTTCCTGCCATATATACCTTTTTTGATTTCCCGGCTACTACTCAACCCTTAGACTCTTAACCTCAACACTTATCAACTACTCAACACGTATCCACCCACAAACCGTAATTTCTGTCTTCCTGACCGGTTCCAAAAACACAGTTTTTGCGATCGAGGGTGGACGTCAGGCGTCACACGGGGATTATCGCACATTTGCATGTAGTTAAAACCGCGCAATATTAAAATCCAGGCATTTTTCAGAGTCGTTGATGCTTTGAGCCGGCTCAAGCTGCAAGCGAAAGTTTAGTCCGGGTTTATTCAGGGTTTTGATGTAAAGAAAAACCTTGGTGCGGTCAATTACAATAGTTGCTGTTACGAGGTGGTTATGGCTTGTGGTATATGGTATATATTTTGGGATAAGTTCCGCGTGAGTACCCAACGCGGGGCTACGCTACGTTAAGTTTAGCTGATGCCTAGTTCCCTGCTTCCCTAGACAGGACACGACGTAGTGCTACGTTGCGCTCCAAAAAAAGGCAATGCTACGATGCACTATGAGATGTTACTTCAGATACGCCCGGTGGCTTTGACTAAGTTATGCTAAGTTACGCTACGATCCGCTATAATACGCTACGATACGCGACGATATGTGACAATACGCTGTGCTACACTACGATACTTTAGCTTGAAATCCCATGATCCTTGCCTAGTTTTTCACGCAACAGAAGACTTTAGATTCTGAACTATAATCTCAAGCCGATGATTTTCAGGCTACAACTCGCCTATCGTACCCGATACCGAGAACAAAACTTGAATCCGAAGTGGAAGCCATTTGAGGTGCACATTGATCAGTTATGCTATGGCGATAAGAATCGGTAAGTTGCAAATGGCTGGGCTCGTATGCTATTTTTCTCAAGGATTCGTCGTTTGCAAATATCCTAATAAGACATTTTTCTTGAACCCCCAAATTTCTAAGTCTTTACCAGACATGGCAATCGGCCGAGCCGCGCGGCTTTTTCGGCCGCAAAAACTAGAATGCGGCCGGGCCGCGCGGCTTGGCCGCACTTCCGGCGCGGCCGCGGCTTTTTTCCGTTTTGAGGCCGCACGGCGGCCAAGCCGCGCGGCTTTTTAAGGCCGCATCCAAATGAGTTTTGAGTACTTCCGGCACGTAAATCAGAGATGCAATGCGTATTTAGCCTGCTAGCGAGGAATAGCCATACTCGACAACCTTAATTTTCTCATTTCCATTCCCATTTGGCATGAAATTCGCGGTTTTTCGATATGTAAATGAGCCACTTCCGGTTTGCGGCTTGGCCGCAGCGGCCCGGCGGAGCCGCGATGAAAATGCGGCTCGGCCGCGAAGCCGCATTCCGGAAATAACTAATTACTGCGGCTCGTAGGGGGGCCGCGTTTTTTATGGCACTTAGGCCGTCGGCCCGGCCGCGCGGCTCGGCCGATCGGAATTGCCATGTCTGGTCTTTACGATATACTTTGTACTCAGAAACCCTGGAAAACAATATTTTTTCCCCATTACTGAACACATGACCTGGGGCCTTTTCCCAGGTCAGGTCAAAATTCGTATAGTCACATGGGCTGTTTTGTAAACAAATATGGTACGTACGAGTTGGTCTTGTTAATCCGGTGCTAGGATTCCAGATTTTACAGAGATCATCTTGATAGTAGTAAGCGAGAAATTAGAATATTTTTCACCCGCGAAAACAGCTTACCTAACATCTTCACTTTGAAAGTGATGCCTTAAATATGAGATTGATTTTCGCAACTGGTATTTGAAACATTTTCTCAAAAATATCTATAATAAGAACTATACAAGGTAAAAAAATTATACTTTAGCGGTTATATCAGCATAACAATTTATTTTCTTTTTATTTGAAGACAAAATTAAAAATTTTTATTTAAATTTACCAAGAATTTTCTCCATTCCAGACCCTTCCTGATCGAGTGCTACGACTGGGACCAGGATGGAAAGTGAGCTCCAATTTTTCAAACTATGCAATGAGTTGCTATATTCCTAAATTTTTAATTTTCGATCCCTACCCAAAATAATTTGCCACCCACCTACCGTAACCCATTGACCAACCATTGCCAAATCTCCAAAATCTCCCATTTGCGTAGATGCACCAAAAATATTTGCGCATCCCATCCCACCCTCGCCGGATAATCCGGATACAATTCTGTATTTTCTGGCAGGAAATGCGAGTTTCGGGGGTAATTTCGTTAATGCATCCTTTCCACGAAGTCCACCTCTCCATTTTCGTGATGAATTTTTGGGCATCTACAGTAACCAAAAGAGTACCTTGATCTCAGCCTCTCTAAAATTTGAATGAAAATACCGCGAAATGGCCCGATGGCCGGAAAGTGCAGAAGATAGGGAGAATCTTGTAAATTTTGAAGATCATGGCTATTTACCGAATACACTGTTCGTACCTCCATTAAATATTTACCGTACAGTCAGTACAAAAAACTTTGTACCCTGTGAAATTCGGAAATCGCAAAGATATGGTATCGCTGGGTATGAAAAACAACAAGGGGGGTGCGAATCGTTCTCTTATGCTTGTTTCGATGTTTTGAAGCAAGTTGGATAATACATAACCTCAGATATATAGATATACTAAAATGGCAAATCAGGTTTTGTAAAGTATAAAAGACTGGGCGCCTCAAAATTTTGTTTTTCAGCCACGATCTCGTCGGGTCTTGCACAACGACGGTGAATCGGTTGACTTCTGGGGACGATGTGTCGTTATCGGTAAGATTTTTAGAGATTTCTCGACCGCTTCCGTAAGCCTAAGCCTAAGTCTAAGCCGAAGCTTAAGCTAAGCCTAAGCCTAACCCAATCTAAGCCTAAGCCTAAGCCCAAGCCTAACCCTAGCCTACGCCTAAGCCTAAGCTTAAGCTTAAGCCCAAACCCAAACCGATTCCTTTTGTTTACCCTCACTCACCTCTGATGACTTGAAGTACGGAACTACAAGCCGATTTCGGGTATTTACAAGCAACAATCATTCCTAAAGCCGTGCGTGGTGTCTTGTAAAATTAATTGTCATGGCCCGGTATCCTACAATAAACAATCTGCCCGAAATTTGGGGGACAACAGCCCTTTTCAGATTGGGAATGCAATTCCTAAAATGTTATTTTGAGGGCAATGCTGCTTGGGCTGTGAACTGTGGAATAACATTTTAGGGAAATTAGGGCAAAATACAACGTTTAGGGGATCAAGAATCACTGCTCGGTGGCCTCTCGGACAAGCTCAAAATCCTAAAAAGCTTGTAATTTGATTTTTCCTTTTCCCCGCTGGTGCAGCGCTTTATAGCGTCAAAATTCCAAGGCGAATTCGGGTCGGATGCAAATGCTAAGGACCTAAAAAACTTAGAATTTATAAAAAAAGGATTCCATAAATACTCTTTTTCAGCTAATCCACGAAAAGAAGGCCCGAAAAAGCCGAAAATACGTCGACTCGGGGCAGCTGCACTTTCACAAAGTCTACTGCTGGCTCGACTTCACGTTTTTGGATTTTGTTCAGGGCGGGTGGGTATTCGGTATTTTTCACGCGGGCGCGATGACGCGGTGTAGTCGAAAAGATCGGGATGATTTCTTGGCAATGACTGGTGACATTGAATCCATTAGGCGGCCATTTATAGCCAGAAAAACATAATTGCGTGTTATGGTCCTGATCCCGAGGGAGGGAATTACAAAAGCGACGACGAGGGATTTAGCGAATTTTGTGGAATCACGTGAATTTCATGAAAAAGAGCGCTTTTTGTAGTCAGCTAGGAAATGACGACAACAAAAAGAGAAATCGGCAAGTAAAAACACAAAAATTAATGAAAATCTTGATTTGGGCGCAATAACAGAGTGTTCAAACTCAGGAGTCGATGATGCTGTGACGTAAAGTAAGTAAAATCATGGAAAGGGTTTTCTATACTTTCGATTGATGGTTTTAATATTTATAATTTCTCTTGTTTTTCCAGTACGGAACTCGACTTCACCGTCGCGATCGATTTCTCCCTGTCGAATCTCCCATTAAATGACCCATCCTCGCTCCATCGGATAGGTCCCGGCACGGCCAACCAGTACGAGACAGCGATACGAGCTATCGGAGAGGTAGTGCATCTACAAGCTACTCCACGTTACAAACGCGATGTTCCCTACAAAGTTCTAGGATACGCAGAAGAAGCTCAAAAACTTTTTCGTATGCCTTAAACCTGCACTTTCCAAATCAAGCAATCCAAGATCTGTCTTTTTTTAATTCTGCCTATTTCAATATGCTTTCCTCCTGTTTCCAGATCTGCCAGTTCTACAACGCGAGCAAAGTTTTCAACGGGTTCGGCTTTGGGGCTAAGCTCCCGAAATCCGATCAGACGCTGTACAACTTTCCATTGGTAAGGTTTTTGACATTTACAAGGATTTCACTAGACGAACTTTGGGATCGCTTCATTAGAATAGGCATCGATAATTTTTGACAAACCCTGGAAAATCCCATTTTATATTCGTATTTCCAATGAAATCTGTCGTTTTCGACCATTTTTGGAAAACTTTGAAACTTGACCGCGTCCTCCTTGACCTAGAAAACCCCCGTTTTTATCGTTTCCAGTGAATCCCCGGTCGTGCAAATAATATTATTCAGGCGCCCCTCTTGATTTTTCAATAGGTGTAAACAGGGAATACCCTGTACCCCAGACAGCATTTTCTGGAAGCCATTATACCAGGCTTGGATTAACAACCAATCTGGACACCTCGCGATTAATTAGCCCCAATGGGGGGCAATGAATAGGCAAGAAAGGATGGGGATTAGTGGTAGGAGGACAATTGTGGGAATCTCGTTGTAAAAAGTAAGGATTGTGTTGTGTGGAGGTGGTGTTTTGCTCACCGTAGTTTTTTTACGGGGGTTCTGGAATTGTGGTTTGGCAGCGGCGAAATGTAGTATTGGAAGTTGGGAATCTCCAAAAACTTTTGTAGCTGAAAAACTTTTGCTGAAAATCTGTAGCTGGATATGGAAAAAAGGAAAATTGGACCCTGTGAAGCTAGTTCTACACGCCTAGGCCATGCTACGACTTGTATCGGTTTAGAGAAAGAGAGCGAGCGAGCGAGTGAGAGAGAGAGAGAGAGAGAGAGTGCGCGAAAGACAGTGAAAGTAGGAAGAGCTTCCTATAAAAAAAAGAGCGTACTGATTAAGGCGAGCTAGCAAACACCTTTTGAGAAAGCTATGAAAGCTTCGAGAACCTGTCTTTTCAGAATATCGAGACCGGCGAGCCACGATGTGATGGTGTCGATGGCTTGGTAAAGAGCTACCGCTCGGCATTACGACATGTAATTCTGTCCGGCCCTGCTGATTTTGCGCCCACGATAAGGTATTTTAAGGCGACCACTGCTAATTCACGTTTGTTCTCCAGGTTCGCAGCCCAAAGAGCAGCATCCCTACCCGCAAATGGCAGCAAATACTCCGTTTTGCTCATACTAACAAACGGGATCATTGCTGATATGGAGCGGACAAAGGAGCAGGTCGTTAAGGTAAGTGTATCTTAATTTTTCCATTTCTTTACGATTTATGGGTTTATTATTAGCACGTGCCCTCGTCAGAACTAAAGAAATTTCTTGGCTCCCTAGAATTTTCACATAAGACTTCAGGAAAAAGCCGGGCGGAGTTCATTTTTGAAAAATCTCACGCGAATCTACAGAGCACACAGTTAGTTCTAAAAAACAGGCTGCGTCGTGGCATCTTTAGCGTGCATAAAAAGCTAATATGAATTCTTAGGCTTTTCAGCGCTTCCCTAGCGTTTTTTTTTCATTAAGATCGAGAGCCTTGCTATTGTTTTCTCGGTTTTTGATGTCCATCCCCACACTCAAATTTTCACAACAAATTCTTTAGAAAAGCCAAGCTAATGAAGCTGGGCCGTGCATTTACGGCTTCTAGGGCCTTATACGAAAAACTTCTCTCTCTGTCTCTCTCTCTCTCTCCCCCCTCTCTCTCGCTCTCTCTCTGTCTCCCTTTGCATTTCCGCGAAAACGTCTACACTCCACAATTCTGTCCAGTAATTAGCATCTCTGTCAGCACAACGTAAAGCTGCCATCGAGACGGGGTAATTGTGGATCCGGCTGAATTCCGCTGGAATCCGGTAGACACCTCTAGGCTTCGGGATCAAAGCAGAGAAAAAATTAGGGGCTAAAACTAGACAGGGGTGGACCCGATGGTAAATACTTCCTGTGCCGATTTTCGCTGTGCCGATTTACACTATGCCGAATTTCACTATGCCGAATTTTCGCTATGCCGAATTTCACTATGCCGAATTTTCACTATGCCGAATTTTCACTATGCCGAATTTTCACTATGCCGAATTTCGCTATACCGAATTTTCACTATACCGAATTTTCGCTATACCGAATTTCGCTATGCCGAATTTTTTCTACTCTACCACTAATAGTCTCTACTAATATTAATAACTAAGATCGACTGGGACTTAGCGGTGCAACAAAAAAATCTGCTGCGCCTACGGGACCTACCTTCTGCTCGAGTTTTTGGAAAATTTTAGGCTAACTCTAACTTTCTAGGCCCATGATATTTGGAAAAAACCGTAAAAAAATGGGGAACATACCGCTTATCAAAATTAGTATGGCGAAGATTCGGCATGGTGAAAATTCGGTATCGTGAAAATCGGCATGGTGAAAATTCGGTATACTAAAAATTCGGCATAGCGAAATTCGGCATAGTGAAAATTCGGCATAGTGAAAATTCGGCATAGTGAAAATTCGGCATAGTGAAATTCGGCACAGCGTCAATCGGCATAGCAAAATTCGGCATAGCGAATGGAATTCGGACCCGATCGAAAACAGGAATCGCAAATTACCCTAATTGGGCACAAGCTTACGCAAAATGTACTGAGACGCAGTATCGGATTGTAAAAGCCTTTTCCGGTAATTTCGGGGTTGGCAGGCTCAACGATGCGTGGGGCTAGAAATAGATTCTGTGATTTGTGAGGTAACGAGGTTCTGCACATCTGCTAGGAAAAGAAGATCAGACGAAACGATGCAGAAACTCTCGGATCGCTTCATTTTAGGCTGAAGCTACGTTAGCTATAAAACAAAACCTGAAAATCGAAAATGCTTTCGACATGCTCTTCAACTCGATTTGAAGCTCAACCACGCAACAAATTTCTAACATTTCTAGATTGACTGACCCTTAAATTTGAATTTTCTCGCATTTTCCTACAACACGCGATAGACGCCACGGTACTGTATGGTACTGGATAACCCGCGAAACCTTGAAACAAAAGATTATTCTGGGATCCGGGCGAAAGTTTACGAGAAAAAGATACTGTAGTTTTGGAGGACACCACCTTTAATTTACAATTTCAGGCCTCCTCCCTCCCACTCTCCGTAATCATCGTCGGCGTCGGCTACGATTCTTTTGACGAGATGAAAGTCCTGGACTCCGACAACCAGCTCCTCTCCTGGCATGGCCGCTTTGCAAAACGGGACATTGTTCAGGTAATGTTTTCCCTTTTCGTCAGTATTTATAAATCCTGCGTAGTCATGAAATTTTTTTACTTCCACCGCCCCCATCCCACGACTTACCAGCACTTAGCAGAACATAACAAGGAAGTTGCCCCGTTCTTCTTGTATAATCCACTGGTTTTGCCCGTGGTACGGTACTGAGCCGGGGATTGACCGCATAAGAAAGATTACACATTTTTTTCTGGGGTTTTGTGGGAGCGTTGACCGTTTTGGAACGCACCCAGAAAATGCAGAGAAGCTCCAGGAGGCCGAAAATTTTCTAGAGTCAACCTTGTATTTTAAAAAATCAAATAAACGCACAAAATAAAGTTAAAGGTTGCAGTGAAAAAAATTTAAAACATGCGAATGTTGTAGTTTGTCCAAATGCGGAACTTCTTGCCCCCTCATCGACATCTTAACGAAGAAGAGCTAACGGATGCAAGGGAGAATTTGGCAAAAGAGGTACGTTAATAATAGCGAGAGAGAGAGAGAGAGAGAACTAGAAAGAGACGAAGATTATTGAAATTTCCAGGTACTGCAAGAAATCCCGATCCAACTGACCAGCTACATGAAGTCGCGCGGAATCTACCCCCTCAGCTACCGTAACGGAGCTTCTGAATTTACCCCTCAGCCACGAAGCACTGATTCTTCTGCTACATCGTCGCCCATGATCGTGAGTTTCTGGGATTTTTCTCTGGGATGCTTGGCCGGATTTTCGAAGCTTACACAAGTATTTTTTCCGCGCCCTTCTCAACCATTCAATTTCCGTAATTATCCCGCATGTACGATATCCGTTCCGTACAGGTTTCCTGGAACGCCTGGCACTGCCTGGCGCCTCTAAGCTCGTGCTAATCTCGCAATATGGAAATGGCGCGGTAGGAAGCGCTAAGCTTAAATGCGAGAAAATACCAGCAAAAATCGTAAACTGGGGATCACGGGGATCATTCAAAAATATGCGGACCATAGGTGTTCACGCTCGGAGGCTGTTGAAAATCATGTGCTGGCGGTGACTGTTTATAAAGGAATTGTGTCGGGAAAAAGAGTGAAAGGTGAAAGAGAGAGAAAGAGAGAGAGAGAGAGAGAGAGAGAGCGATCTCAAGCTAATGCCCCATTTTGCAGTCGCCAAGACATACAACTGCTGAACGTCGCATCTCCCCTCTAGCGCGACTTGGCTCGGCTCAACCAACCGGAAGACCGATGAGCTATACCGATACTCCCCCGCTATCCGCTCCACCACTCTCCAACCAGCGTGAGTTATCTGAATTTATATCATGTCTAATTACCAAAAATCTGTTTTTTTTTGCATTGCTTAATAGGTTGGCTTTTTGCCAATTGTGGAGCGAGTCTGTTCGAATTCGCTGGAAAGGGAATATTTTTCTGGTTCCCCGTAATTCCGAAAAAGTGCGAAAAAAACGGGGGCCCACGGCAACATCCGTAGCCACTCAGCGTCAGAATTCCGATGAAAAATTCAACTTGCGCTTAGCAATGCCCGCGTTGTACGCTTTTCCGCCCCTATTTTCGGAGGGTGGAAGCAAGAAACGTTCTGCAGGAAGCGGATAGACTAGACTAGCAAAAATGGCACGGTTCTCAAACTCGGTAGAATAAAGATGTCTCGAAAAAATTTTTCCCGTTGATAATTAGGCGCTATATTCGTTTAAAATAAAAACTACATATTTGACAAAAGTCTAAAGTAATTTTAACCCCCAAAATGACTTCGATAGAGAAGAATTTTCAGGCTTTGGCAGCCCGTCCCGCGTTCGCCGACGACTACCGCAAATCCCCGGCGAGCAGCTCAACCAGATGCATATTTACTAATTTTTGCTACATTTTGTATTCTCTTCAGCCGAATTTCGCAATTTCTGCATTTTGTGAAACCGCCGAGATTTTTCAAATTGCATTTCCACCTGTGTTCCAACCGCTCATTCACTTAGCCCGGCCGCCCCTGCTACTCGAGGAAATCATGTGCGTGTTTTGGCAGTTTTCGCTGTATTTTGTGTCAATCCCTCCTTTTTTCTGGTCCGCTGAGGATAAAGATTTGATTACGGTAGCAAGGTGCTGCTTTCAAAATACGTGAAAGTAATAGATGCTATGAAAATCAAGAATTTTTCGGTGTCACGATTTTTTTTCAGGAGCATGTAACATGCTTTGCCTGTTTTACAACGTAATGGATCTACAAATTAAGAATTTCACTAGTTTACCATCTTTTTCGACGCGTTTTAACCTGCTTTGCCTGTTTTCCAAAGCAATGGATACTACAAATCAAGGATCTCACCTTTCCGATTTTTCGCAAGTGTTCGAACCGGTTGTGCATGTTTTCCAACATATACCTGTCCTCTAAAAACCACAAAATTTCACAAAATGGTTCTTTAAACCAAGAGAAGCCTATTTTCTGCAGATCAATCTCAACATGCAGATTAACTTTTTGACCCGAAACCCTTTAAAGCCAAAAGTTAATTGCGACCTTAAAAAAATCTGATACCGAAGCCAAATTTTGATGTTGACCAACAGCACCCCCCCCCTTATTATCGAAGCCGTATATAGCAACAAATCGTAGTGTATCCCCCATTCTCCAGGGGCCTGCAAATTTGCAAGTGGAACAGAAATTGGTCACTGACCGTTAGAATGTCAGCATCAACCCCGAAAAGTCATGGAATCAAACATCTACAAAGAATACCGTGGCTTACGGTAGCCGCAAAAAAAACAATAGGTACTGCCGGGTCCTCGTTCACGTGAACGGCAGGTGAAAAGAACGTGATAATTTGCCCTGGAAACTGGGAATAGTTTTTCTGCTCGCAACTTCAAAAAAAAAAACAAGAAAACGCGAGGAAATAATAAGTTCGGTTTAGGAGCAAGTAAGATCACGGCTTGCTTTTGCAAGCCTAAGCCTAAGCCCAATCCAAGCCTAAGCCTAAGCCCAATTTAAGCCTGAGCCTAAGCTTCTCTCTCTCACTCTCTCTCGCGCTTTTTTCGTCTTTTAGCTGTCCCCTCGTTAAATGACACGTTCAAAAGGTTGTTTTTCATGTACTTCCCGGGTGGGGGGGCGGGGGTGGCGATTTGCCCAATTTTCCGGCATTTAGATCCGGGTCCCCCGGTTGGCAGCGCCAAAAAACGGGTCAGACCCGCCGGGTAAAAACTTGGGTTCCGATTTTCCGCTCAACTAGCCGGGCCCCAAAATGGCACGGATTTCGCCACCCCCACACCCGGAAATGCATACTTTTTCTCGTCACATAATCGTGCCTCCTCTCTCTCGCTCTCTCTCTCTTTCTCTCGCTCTCTCTTGCTATCTTTCTCTAGCCCATTCACGAGCATCCAATCGTTCTATTTGGCGAGCTCGAGAGGGTGAGTAAGCTGTTGGTTTTTGAGTACATTTTTTTGTGGACGCCCAGGGTCGCCTAGTAACTTTTTCAACACAAACCTTTCCCAAAAAACCTCCCTCGCATGGCTAACCTTATCTAGAAAAAAAAACGGGTGGGGATTAGGGTCGTGGAGCACTGAAAAACGACCTTGCCACCGTATGACTCACAGAGTGGAGATGGAATCGGAGGGGACAGCCGGGGAAGAAAGAGCTGACGGTTTACGGTTGCTTTCATTCGGGGTGGAATGTTTCAAATCGAGGCGTCGATTTTCGAAACAAAGATCCGCCTCGAGCACGTGGGGTATCGGGGAACGAATGATCACGAGTGAAGAAGCTTGACTTTTCGATGATGCTACGAGGCGAACTTTTTGCAGCAGGGGATGTGACTAAATACGGGTCGCCAAAAGAATTAGACATAACTGATGCGACGAGCCGGGAAACTCGAACTGAACGTCATTTTTGCTCGAATCAGATGCTTGCACGATCCCTTTAAAGGCCGCCTCGGAAATCTTCTTTTAACTTGGCTCGTAGCTGAGCTGCAAAGCAAGCTCCCACTCGTGCAACCAGCCCATTTCCATGTTGCGAACCTTGCGTATCGTTTCGAATTGAAAGATCTGAATCGATCAAGTGACCCTGGACTGGCATAGAACCCGGGAGCCAGCGTTTCTCAGCAAAGTCAGAGTGTTTGACCTTCTGCCCGGGGTACGGTGGGTGACTAGGCTAGAGAGGTGAACCATGTGATAGGACTCTCGAACGGAAAAGGAAAGAATCAAAGCAAGATCAGGGTTGAGAGTGGCCTGGGTTTATCGCTTTTTCTGCTGCAAATTGCTAACTTAAAGCACGTTCTCTATCTCTCTCTCTCTCTCTCTCTCTCTCTCTCTCTCTCTCTCTCTCTCTCTCTCTCTCTCTTCCTCGATCTTGGCGTTTTGGCGTGAATTTCGAGCTCGGTTTTTCTTTTTTAAATTTATTAAAAACACCTCAATGTACAGCCTTACAAAAGTATAGATAAGAGCAAAGCTAAATTATACAAAAAGCACGTAGGGAGAGCACAGGTATTTACAGCATACCGGCACCAAATTCGAAATCCTAACAGCCGCCTAACAGAGGCAGGCTGGCCGGGGAGAAAATTGTGGCGCAAATTTGAGAATTTTCATCGAATCATGAATAAATTTAAGCTCGCGGAAAATCACAGAATTACAATAAAACTACTATTAGAATAATAAAGAGGAAAAACAAGGGCAAGGATCTTTTTCGGAGATCTGAAAGCATTAAAATTGCAAATAAAAGTCGCAAAAATAAGTAAAGCAAGCAAAATATAAAGCAAAAAGCGCGGAAAAATTCTATTTACAATTTAGCAACCAAATGGAGGCCGTTCTAGCTCATTGTCGGGGGTTCATCTGAAGTAGGGCATAGGTATCGGAATGGGTTAGAGATCGGGAAATCACATCAAATATCATAAAAAAGCATAAATCGCTAAAACAGAGGTAAGCAGGAAAATACAGCATTTTCACGGTATTTTGGGAGATCCATTTCTCGATTTTCCAACCGATTAGGACAGCTAAAAGAGTGGGTGGCACCAGCGGAAACTGGCGGGGTCGGAGGTACCCTAATGGAGACGTAATGCATATTAATTCAAGTATTTTTGAATTCGGGGTGAATTCGAATATTTTTTTTGGTGTGGAGGCAAGCTCCTACTAATGCGCGGCCCAGTGGGCAATTCAAAATGCGGAAAGGGGGAATTTCAAAACCTAATTAAACGGTTCCCGTAAGGGCCAATGCAGGCAGTGCTCTAGGGGGAAGGCGCTGAGATTGAGAGGGGTTTTTGGGGTGTTATTTTGGCCATTACTAATTAAGGTGTACTACATTAATGTGATAGAGGCATTAGAAGTTAATATATAAATATTAAATCATTGATATAACATTAAAAATCAGAAATTACAATATATCAAGGCTCTTTAGAAGCTTTAGGAGGTTTGAACCTTTGTAGGGATTTGAACAAAGTATCGAACGTTTTGGAGATATACAACAACTAAACAAATTAATTAATAGTAATAAAAGGAAAATACACAAAACGGGGCCTTTTTTGGGTCATTCTTAGCAGCTTAAGGTTACTGGCTGACTGCACTGTCCCTTTAAAGTCCCGTTGTTTAGTTTTGAAACGCGGAAAATCGCGTATTTTGGCGTCAGGTGGTATTGGGGCGCCAAATGGTGTTTTGGTATAAGATGTGATAAGAATACCAAAGTTAAAGTCAAGCCGTACAGTCCAATCAAGCGTTCGTAGTCCGTTCCGTTCATCCATACTCATTTGCATCCGCAGCTCTGCACAACCATGTTCCGAATCGTAGTCACCACAGCCGTGTTAGCTGCAAAAAATAATTTAGAGGGGCTTACTGTAGTTCTTACTGTACTGTAGTACTGTACTGTACTGACACTTTTCGCGAGCCAACGTATTTCCAGATTTTATACTGTAACCAATAAAAATCTAGGTTGTTCAACTGTCCTAACTGCTGTTTGTTGCCATTTGCACAAAAAATAACTCCCTTGCCGAGTCAAAGAAACTCTGCTAGCACACCTATAACTAAGAAGCTATGCGAAATAAAGATTAAATCGGTCAAAACCCATTTTCCTACAACTCTATCGCGTAATTGAAACTCACATCCAGGTCCCTTGTGGAACAGCTTGAAGTCGCCGAGTTTGTCCGGGGCACAGCACATGTGTTGCGGCATCTTGATCTCCATGAAGCGGGCGTGCAGGGTCTTGGCCGATTGGCCTGGGCGGCAGCGGCCGGCGCAGTAGTAGGCGGTGTACTTGCTGGGGGCGATGACGAAGCCCCATTCGAAGTCCTTGAAGTCGATCTGGAAATGTGCTTGGTTAGCAAGCTAAAAGCCAAGCCTAAGCCTAAGCCTGAGCCTAAGCCTAAGTTAAAGCCTAATTCTAAGCCTAAGCCTGAGAGCTAAACTTGAGACAAACTCACCTCGAGGTGGTAGCGGCAGCAGTAGGAATCCGGGTGCGACGGGTCGATGGTGCATATCTGGGAGCCGTTGTCGTGCTGTAGCTCACGGCGCTTGCGGAGGTTCGGCATTTGGACGACTTCGAGGAAGTACTGAAATCGACTTGGTTGACTTCGAAAACCGAAGCTCCTCGTTTCATTTGGCCTTCGAGGCGCAATCATTAATTCATAGGTATGTAGCTGCTCACCTGAGAGTTGTTGCTGTGGCGGTCGATCGGGTCGAAGAAGGCGACGCCATTGCCATCCGGGATGACCTTGACCTGCATGCCGTAGTTCGTATCCGGGTTGTTGATCCACTCGTTGATGATGTCGGTGACTTCGATCTGTTCCCACTGGTCGCCGTTCATCACGTGGTGCTGAAAATTGAACGGTAATTCGAGGTTTCACGCACGCGCTTTCTCTCTCTCACTCTATCTCTCTCTCTTGCCCTCTAGCTTCAAACACTTACCTTGGCAAAAACGATTTGTCCTTCAGTGGACACGGTGTTCTCGTCCAAATACTTGTTGACGTAGATGGTGAATTTCGACTTGCCGTCGTCGCCATTCATGTTCTGAAAATACAAATTTAAGCTTATACATCTAGGTAGTTTTTTAAAGTTTAAAGGTATAAAATCATACCTTAACAAAAACGTTCAGCATGGCGGTCTTGACTTCCGATTTCTGGGTGTGCTCGAGTTTGAAGTAGGTGCGGTGGTGTTGGTGGCGCCATTCTTGCGGGGCTGAAAGATGAGGCATATGTTTGGTATTCTAATTAGGCTCAAATTTTGCCCTTACGACACCTTTAAGCTAGATCTAACTCTTTAAATGATCAAAATTCCTACCTTTCGCAGCCGGGATGACAAACTGCGAGCTGAGAGCGGGGTTGGGTTGTCCGGACTGAAAAACATAGCTTGGAAAAGGATAAAGAAATTACTTCTGATAAATTTTCCAATAAGAAAAAATGATTTGATTTAATGACAATTTACATAAATTATCCATAAAATCGAAACACAGTAAAGAATCAAATAACTGACGAATTCGCAATCTAAAAAGTCCCAAAAGCCTACATATCGTCCATCATTGCTAAATCCTTCGTTGGCGAGCAGTAGAGCCATTTGTTCGTGGCCCATGGGGAGCGTCATTTCCGTGTTCGAGGCATTGTTCATAGCAGCGAGAATTGTCTAGAAATGATCAATTTGGATGGAACATTGTGACTTTAATGTCTTCTATACCTTTAAAAGGATGGTGCAACGAAAAAAGCGTGGATACCTACCCGTTTCACCATCAGAGTTTCCTGCTCGCGCATAACACAGTGGAAGTGGAGGTGGGTCATCGTGATGTAGGAGCATTTTTGTCTAGAGAAATATGAATTAAACTGCAACTCGCCAGGCAGAGCGCGACAGAGCGAGAGAGCGAGGGAGAAAGAGAGAAAGAGAGTGAGTGGGAGAGAGCGGTAGAGAGAGAGCGGGAGGTAGATAGAGAGAGAAGGGAAGAAAACCCGAATGACCCCTATGAATGTGCTTTAGTATAACCCAAAAAGCGCCAATAATGGAATTTCAGGCGTTCAAAGAGTACATTAAAATAGTGGGAGCCTTCAATCGAAAAGTGGAGCATAACGTACTAACAGCACCACAAAAATGTCGTTAGATTAAGTAAAAAAGAAACTAATGGGAAACATATTGGTCTATTTTCTTGGTATCTCAAAAATTTCCAATCAAAAGTTAATCCGAAGGTGCTACCAAAGATTTGCTATTTCGATACCTTTAGGTAATTTGATGACTGCATAAAAATATCCATAAAACCACAGCAGAATTTTTAGGCAACAGTCAAAGTATTTAGGATATGAGAAGGTATTTAGACAAGGAGAAAATATAACAAAGGCCACCGTCAAAAAAAAACTCACTCGATATATCGTTCTTCATCTGCAGTGAGTCCTTGAAATGTGTGCTGTTCCTGGTCGGCGTCGCAGGACTTTGTGGTGAGGAGGAGGGCGTAGAAGAGTAGGCCGAGGGCCAGCCGTGGCCTTGGCCACAGCCCGAACCTCGACATCGTAGATTGGGGTATGCCTGGAATATCGGCGGTGGATGGTTCTACTCCCAACCCGTAAAGCTTATATATCGAGGAGGGGGGTCAGGGGCTCGGCTGGATGCCACGCCCCCTTTAGGGGAGTTGGGGTGTGGCCGGGGGTACGGTAGTGGCCTGGTACATTTGAGGGCGAGAAAGTAGGGCGAGGATAGAGAACCCAGGGGGAGCAAGAAAAAGGTATTCTTCTCTGGCCTCTTGCAAATCAAACCTTGCCCAAAATGGGCGGGCCCTTGAAGAGCTGGGGGCGTTGAGGCGCCGAGTAAATCTGAGAAATCAGAGAATACAATTTTGGGGTACGGTAGATTGGGGAGTACGTGAGGAAGGCAAGGTGGGATTCTACTGTACGGTTTTTGAGGACATTTAGAATGCCTGAACTTTTGTAGGAAGGTTAACTGGCAATGGTGCGGAATTCGGGTTTTAGATGATTTTTCACGAGCATTAATGTTCTACCCTTCTTTGAAGCGTTTGGCTGGATTTAAAAATCTTCACGGGGGTTATATGTACAAGGTGTTGTCTGTAGCTTCCTTGAAAATGCCAGATCTAGGCAGAAACGACGCAATCGGAATTTTCCACTGCGCTTTCAAGTTTTCTGTAATAAAAAAAGCTCTCCGGAAAGCGCAACAAGTTCACGGCATCTGTTACTGCTACCCCTTGTTGTTTGCTAACATACTCAAAAGACCAACACTCGAAAAAATACTACGCAAGACTACTCCAAAGTTTTTATTTCTGAAATAAAAAATATAAGTCGCTCGATCTAAAAACTTCTAAGAAAATTTTTGATGAAAGCCGATTCCGCTGACATCAGCCCACGGAAAACTTTGGGGAAATCGGCATTTCGCTGTAACACAATTTTTCCTGTGTTTTCCGGCTCAACTCAGTCATTCTGATTTTATTGACGGTAGCTTACAACTTGCGTTTCCGAGAAATTCGAGGCAAATTGCTGAAAGTAGAATCTAGGCAACCTAAGTGCCTCAAACTACACCTACGCACCTTTTCGCCGCTATCATCATTTGGTTCAAAGGATCAGCGCCGCCTGCGCGGTTAGGGTTTTCAGAGTACACAGCACTCCTAATTCCGATTCCGAGAGGTGGGATGTATCCCGGAATAGTCATTAGCCGGGGGTGAGAATCGCCGGATCATCCACACGCCATGATCTTTATCCCGAAATTGCCGCCTACTGCTTGCCGTTTGGGGCGCCATTTGCGCAATGGTTGGTGGTGGTGATTGGTATTGAGCACGAGGTGCGAGGCGGTTGTTTTTGGGCGCGCATCTCGGAATGAGATGGGGGAGCTAAGAATGGAAAACAAGGCTCAGATGCCGCGGGACACCTTTTAGAATACGGTACGAGTGCGTGGGACCTCGATTTTTGAGCCCGGGAGGTCGGGAATATTTTTATGACAAATATTACGATCTTTTGCGTAGGGGGATTTGGAGTTGGCTTAATGAATCTGGGGTGCAAAAATTCAATCGAGGCTTTTTTGGCCAGGCGTTAGTTTTATAACTGTTTTTACTTTTTGAAAGTTACGGTAGATATTAGACTGAAGTATCCATTTTCACACGGCAATAATCCATTTTAATTTCGTCAAGAATAATTTTGTCGAAATCTCGTCTTGCCGAAGCATTTTGTCGAAATTTAGTTTTAACGAAATCTCGGAAATTAAATTTTGGCACAATGATTTTTGACGAGTGCAATTTCGGGAAGATAAAATTTTTGACAGGATCTTATTTTGACAAGTATATTTCGAAAAACGATTTTCGATAAAATGATATTTCACCAGGCGGATTTTCGACGAGCTCATAGCAAGACACATGCAATCGTTACGGATACCGGCGAAGCTATTTTCTTTGCTAAAATTTTAGAGTTATGGTCATTGTTTATTTTTTACGATTTACTTGCCATAGCACCAGCATTGACTTTTAAAATTAAAAAATTTATAATGGCAACATTTGCTTTCCACTGCCTTTAAGATCAAAAGCTAGTCCAGACATTAAACACAAACCTCGGCTATACCCAAAAGGTTCCATTACGCAACATTAATCCGAGTGGTCGGCGTGACGAATCCGCACCTAGTCTACTCTACTCTACAACCCCGCCGTGTCATCATTGCCCATGGGAGCCGCGTGGAGTGTACCTCATCCACCTAAAATTATTCTTGGCACACTTGCTGGTCGTAGCTTGTGTCGTGGGATCGGTATGAAATGATACTTGACAAGGCTTTCCCACTGTGGTGTTCAAAAATCACAGACAAGTTCTTGACGATTTGGAACGGCGTACAAAATGTGTTTTTTGCTAGCAAGGTACACACTATGTTCCCCAAAATCCTCAGCAAAACCTCAATTTACAAACCGTTGAGATCAGTGTACAAAAATTGTGGCCGGAGGTCGGGTCTAAGGTAGAGGCAAAACGCTTCCGGTCAAACTCGAATAAGTTTTTGTTCAGAACCGGGCACTGCACCTGCTGTCTGGCGAACTTGCAGGCTCTTATGAAAATTGACTGTAAATTAGGAGCAAACATCTGCAGCAAGGCTGGCAAAGCAAAGCACAAGGGTCGAGGGCCAGGCCGCGTACAACTAGTGTTACTCCATTTTGATTAGGCTAAAACGTGTAAATCCTGAAAAACTTCCAAAAGCTCTTTCTGGCCAAGCTGCAAATTCCTGGGTCCGCCGAGCAAAAGATGCAGAGAAACTATCGTTTTCTTTTCAGCGCAAAATTCCGCCGTGGTTGGGATTCGTTACACTTCAAACATCATCCAATCAGATGCGTTGCGCGGCTCTGAGACCGCGCAGCGGGCTGCTGCGCTGTCGTCCCTCTCGAATTCCCCGCTTTCTCATATCGCCCTTATCACGTTTTGTATGTCTCTTCCTTTTTCAAACTTGTTCTTTTTTCGACGACCAGTTCACACCCAAGCAAAATCGATAGTCAAAAATCCGTCTCGACTGTATCAACTGCTCCAGACACGCGTTTTTCTCGTGGGTTCAATCTACAACCTTCCGAGCTTCTCGAGACAAAAGCGGGATTAATTTTTTCGACATCGGAGGCGTTCGAGGGTCCGTGAATTGCCCAATTATCCAAATGGATTATCACGGGGAACCAAGTGAACTCTTGAATGCAGAATGGGTGTAGGTGGCTCCCCGGCGAACGTCCCTAATCCTCATTTACAAAAAGTGCGGATGGACTAATGGATTTTCCGCGTTTTTTGGGGTCGTTCGGGTTCAGTTTCCGATACTCCGCATCCCTGCGTGAGTAATGGACGAAAAATTGTACATATGAATAACGCTGGATTCGGGATACAAAATGATATTATAATGCGATCTGTTAGTCATAGATTTATTCGGGAAGCGCGTTTGGTTTTTTCAGGAAAATGTGGTCTGGATTTGCGTCAGTGCAAAAGCTATATTCTTATCATCACACACGGAACTGTCTATTTCTTAAGTCTGACTGTTTTGCTAGGGAGTGATAGGTATAGAGAGAAAGAGAGCGAGAGAGAGAGAGAGAGAGAGAGAGAGAGAGAACAATTACTGCTGCGTTCCTTTGAACCTTCTCCAAAGCCTTACAACTTCTACCACTTGCAACCCGACTTCTCGGAAAAATTGCACCGCAAAAACTTGACGTTTTGCAAACCGACCTCCCAGGTAAACAAGTAAAAAACGTACAGTGACCTGACCCGACCTCCGGCAAACGTCTTGATGATCAGCCCCCGTCCTCGGATTTGCACTTTTTCACCACAGCCGGCCACTCCACTCAAAACGAAACGATTTTTACAGATTGCCCTTTTATTACTGTCCAGCACCGACATTAGACTGAGCCTCAGCCCGCAGTTTCCAATTCACGCAAATGCGCAGGCTAAAAACGGAAAAGATGTTTTCAATCATCCATTGTAAAAGATGTTCCGGTGAACTTAGTCTGGCAAAACACACACGCCTTGGCTACACCTCGATTGGAACATTTGACTTTACACCCGAATCGTAGAACATTGGCAAAATAACGGCTACGCTCTGTCCTTTGGTCCCCTGGGACGGCGGAGACGTTCCTGATCTAGCAACGTAATATTTCACGTTCACCGAAATACGCATTCTTTAGAAAATATGCTTGAAAAGGGAGGAACCCCAGAAATTGGGCTGCCCGTTGGGAGTTATCGCCTTCCGGAAATAAACGACATTTGTAGAAAGTGTCTTGTGTGTTCTGGGAAAAACGGGGTGGATTTTGGTGCGTCCGGCGGCTCTGGTGAGCGGGGCTCTGTGGAAAGTGATGAGCCCTGAAATCCTAAAATTTCATATAGGGATCGTTGAAGGGATTTAAGCTTGTGCGCCTAGAGATTTTCACCAGACTGTCGATGAGCCGAAATGCCGACGGCGAAAATTCTAGATTACTATCGTAGTAAATTTCTCATCCAAGCGTGCCTCGTCATTATAGCTATCGATATTTCGTTCAGTGCCGATTTTTTTACCTTGTTAGATAAACGCCACATATCAATCAACTCCTTCCGGTACACACTACCCTCCCGGAAATGCCTCAAAGCTTCATCGCCAAAAAAAACTTCATCGTCAAATCGGCACGACTTTTTACCTTGATACCGCCACACACCGCTTGACACCGCGTTTCCTGATTCCTCAATTTTTCTGATCAAATGTACATCCGGCGGGCAAACGCGGATCACCCACCGCCGGCTAGAATCGCTAATCCGATCATCAATTTACCGGGGGCCAGATTCAGCCTACGCCGGAGGCGCTAATACCGCGTTTTTACGGAGGTACCGTAGGGGGCTCAGCCAATTAATCGGGCAGATGCACTTTTTGCCGGTGTCCCGGGATCAACTACTGTCACCTGGCTTACCGGGCGGAGCTGAGTAATGGCTGATGAACTTGGGCGTTCGTTTGCGCTACAGTAGTCATTTCCGTTACCTACTGGTAGTCAACACACTAAAAAGAGGTTGCAGAGCTCTAAGGCGCTCAGGCATACAACAA